ACCGGTTGTCCCGTCCCGATTACCCGGTGAATCGCAAAAAACCCGATGGGAAATTAACAAATTTGTCTGTTTTTTCGGGTCGGGTACCCGTCCCACTAAAATAGCAGTTTCGTGGGCTGGGACATGGGACAAACTTTGCTAATCTCGAATACCCGAATACCCGTTAAAAAAACAAAAAACAAAAAACAAAAAAACCCTCAAAAAAAATTACGGAGTTACCCACCCAGCCACCCTATCTTCTTCTCTTTCTCTTTAATCCTCATCCTTCTCTTTCTCTCTCCTTTTCCCCCTGTTACTCTCTTTCTCTCTCCTTCTCACGCTCTCCTCTCTCCTCTCCTATCTGCTTTCTCTTTCCTCCTTTTCATGTTGTTCTCCTTTTCTCCTCTCCTCCCTTCTTTCTCTTTCCTCTGTTCTTTCTCACGCCTCTCTTTCTCTCCTATTTTTTTTCTCTTTCTTTCGATTTTTGTTTTTCGGCTATCGGTGGTGTTGGGTTGTCGGTTCATTGTGGTTTTGGGGTTTCGGTGGTGGTAGGAGGTTTTGGTGGTGGTGGTGGAGTGAATTTAGGTGGTGGCGGGTGATGAATTGCGGTGGTGGTGGGTGATTTTTTATGGTGGCTTAGGAGGAGAGGAGGTACGTTTTGGGTTTCTCGATTCACTCCTTTCTTTGACAAATAAAATCCGGGTACCCGTGTCCCGTCCCGGATAATTCGGGTACCCGAATTATCCGGAACGGGACACGGGCCGACTTATCAACTACCCGAAGATCCGGGTACCCGGATTTACCCGAATTTGAACACCCCTAGTGCCATGTTTTCAATTGGTTTCTAGATCTTGCTGACCTCTAATATGGTCTCAGGATTGAGTTCAGATGAATTAACATCTTCTTAAGTGTTTCCTTTACGTGCTGAATGCTTAGGAGCCATGGGAAAAACTTCCAAATTAACGGAGTTAAATGGATTTAGTTTAGTTTTCTCCCACTATGGTCTCCAAAAAACTTGTTGAGGCAAATATTTTTCTTTGCGAACAAGTCAAATACCCTATATTGTTCTACAGTATTAGGGGGCGGCTATCCCTCGAGTTACTGATTTCAAATATTGATAACCTTGCTAACCTAACAAAAACAAATAATAAGGAAGCTTTCCCAAAGAAAGTAAAACAAGTTAGATTACTTAAAGAAATGAGTAGATGAATTTACAAGAAAAGATACAAATGCATTCCATTAATTAAATGATAGAGTCAGGTCTACAATTGTACAAATTGAAGAAAAGGTTACCTCTATGTTCATACAATTGGAAATGAACGGACGATCTTCAATACATGCTAAGGAAACTACGCTATCGCTTGGCTACTAAACCAAGGGAAACTAAGAAAGCTAAGGAGAAACCTTAAAAGAAATGAAATGCTTGTTGTTGATTTATTTGCTGATGTCCTTCTTTTGGCCTTCATGCTTCTATTTATAGACAAATTAGAGCGGTTATGGCTGATTCCCATAACTGTTTTGCAATTATGCTTCTTGGCGTCAACTCTCTTTGAAAATCGAATTGTCTATTTTGCCTCCATGCCGGTTCTTTTCCATATTGGGCCTTTAGGTAATGTCCACCCGCTTTCACTTATCCTTGTTTTTTTAGCCCGAAACCTTTCACTGGCTCTAAGATCCAGTTTACTTGGTTAATCGGGTCAAAGTCAGGAAAAAGTCAATAAAAGTCAAAAATATGATTTTTGGGTGTAACAATGCCCCTGTAAGATGGACGGCGGGTTGGAAGGTCCGATCATGGCTGAGAAATCATCTAACCGTGGTCTTGTTAACGGCTTTATTTGTGAGAAAGTCAACAAGTTGATCACCAGTAGCGACATGGATGACTTGAAGAGTCCCTTTTTGAACCTGCTCACGTATGAAATAATAATCAAGAGCTAGATGTTTCATCCTCGAGTGGAAAACCGGGTAGGCACTAACATGAGTAGCACTAAGGTTATTATAATAAATAACTGGAGTGTGGTGTAGACGAACACCCAATTCGGTCAATAGAGTTTCTATCCACATAAGCTCAGCAGTAGTCGAAGCTACCGACCTGTACTCTGCCTTAGTGGAGGAGTGTGCTAATGATTTTTGCTTCTTTAAACTCCAAGTTATTGGAGTAGGACCAAGAAAAATGACATGACCCATTTTAGAATTGTAGTCATCTCGATCACCTACCCAATCAGCATTAGAGAAGGCATGAAGTATTAGTGGGGAGTCTCGATATATATTGACACCCATGTTTAGAGTGCCACTGTGGTACCGCCGCATAAGCCTCTTTAGTGCAGACCAATGATAAGTGGTGGGACAATGCATGAAATGTGAGAGCTTATTCACGGCATAAGCGTCATCGGGTCGAGTGAGTGTGAAATACCGGAGATGTAACACCCTAGAAATTCCTTTCTTTTAAAATACCTGTTTTACCCTTTTTAAAATACAAGATAGGAAATTCTAACGCATTATAGCCACCGTGATAACGGATAAGGCATTTATCAAAGACACACAACGGAAGACTCTTTTCAAAACAAAGTCAAAGTCTAACAGTCCAACCAAACAAAAGTAAAGTCAAGTCAAAGTCAAACAAAGTCAAACCTACAACTTGGAACCATTGTAGGCCCTTTTCGAAACCAAAGGTATTAAAACCAACGCGTTAGTATCATTAATTAATAATAATAATAAACCAGTAAACAATAATAATCACATGTTCGAAATAAAACTAGAACAAGATTCGCTCTTCACTTAAACCCCAACATGAATATGCTGCACCACCTGAAAAGCTTCTCTTTAAACTGTCCCAACTACTCACCATAAGAAATGGGTAGTCGTAGGGCCAAGATAAAGACAAGGCCAAACACACACAAAACACAACAATCAGCAATGTTGAGTACATAAGCGTGAAAGGAAACACACCAACATGATAGCATCCTAGCAATAACAACAAAGCTTACCTTTCCTCAAAGTTCAACCTACAAACAACAGACACAACATGGACTCATTACTTTAATTATTTTGATTACATATCAAACGGGTTTCCCATCAAATCCCTGCCCCAAAGAATTGGGGTAAACTACTCTGGGAGCTAACTAGGTAAGCATAGATGTCACATGAAAGTGACGGACGTCCTTTGCATAAAATAAAAAGGAAAATACAACGTCTTGTACTTCCAGTAGAAGTTATGATCAAATATAAAGTCACATAACTCCCCCAATATGTTCATACTCGATGTATATATGTTCCAAGATTTTTGGTGTGCATTCTCTTTCACTTTACGTTAGTTACATTTTAGACTTGGTGATGACTCTCAATCCACAACACAACAATCAATACAATCCATTCAAGTAATCAAACATTCCAATTCAATTCTTGTATAATTAGTGATCACATATAATTTAATGTTGAAACCTTTCTAATTAACAAGGTGAAATCACCTTAGTGCATAAGGGTGCACTCCATCCCATCCTAAAAAGGCATTAAACCTTGGTGCATAAGGGTGCACCACATCCCGTTCATCATATATATAGCTCCTCGATTGCATCACAACATATTTCATCATTTCCTTACCTTTCATGCATAAAGCACCAATAATATTTTATGAACCATATCAAAAATTCCCTTTTCATATTCTCAACCAAATTAAACTTTTAGTTTAATTAAACATGCCCTTAAATCATGCCAATAATAAAAGTGTGGTCCATATTCAATATTCTAAACATCATAAACTACAATAATAATTCATTTCAATCATATCATACCTCATAAACCAATCATCAATTCCAACTCAATTTCATACAACCAATCCAATTCAACAATTCCAACCAATTCCTAGCATGATACTAACTTGAAATCAACCAAGATAAATCCTAGCATGCTTCTACATGCTTAACAAAATTTTGACTACGCGTACGTACCTCAAATAAGCTGTAAAGATAGCCGCTTACACTAGAATACTTCCCGAACAAGTCTCCTACGTAGAGGGACGATAACATGCACTATATTAATTACCCTTGTATATATAATTTCCAACAACTTAAACTAACTTTAATTCACTCTAAATAATCTGAAAATTATTTTAAAACCCCTAATTAATTTCTCTTTAAATGGGTTATTAAACCCTCTTTATAAAACATCAAAAGTAGTACTTAGAAACAATTTCTAGCTCTTTAGGTTAATTAAAAACCCTTCAAAACTCCATCAAAACATCGCTTTATTCTTGATAATTAATTAGGATCACAAAATACGTAAAAGCCCCAAATTAATTTGAAATTAGAACCCTAAAAATTAAGTCTTTAGTATTTCAAAACCCTAACTTTATAAAATTATGAAATATGAAAATTAACAATCTAATAATCTGAAAATATACTTTTAAATCATAAAAAATATGATTTGATACTAAATAAACCTATTTTAAACAATTAAAATCAAAACCCAAACTAATAAACAAAATAGGAAAAGAAAGAGGAAAGAAAGAACCAAGCCACGAGAAGGTGGTTGACGCTGGTCGGCGACTGCAGCAACGCCGGTGGATGGAGGACGGCTGCGGGCAAAAGTTGGTAGCGATGGAGCAGCAGCAGTGATGGTCCATGCATGGATAGCTGCTACTATTTCACGGGAAGGAGAAGAACAAAAGAAAGAAAAGAAAAGAAAAGAATAAAGGAAGAAGAAGAAAAAGGGAAAGGGAAAGAAAATTTACTTCTTTGACTTTTGTGTGACAAATTTTTGGGATTCAAGAGGTATTTATATGTAGGGTAAGTAAGAAAATATTTTGGCTTCATGAGATAGTGATATGAGGGAGGAAATATCTAGCCCAATTATGCAAATAGGATAAATGGGCTTATTATGAAATTGGCTATATTGGAGCAAGATAGTTATTGATCTAAATATTAAAACTTGTTTTATTTATAATCCATCAATAAAAATAGTTTGACCCAAAACATATTTTCTAAATAAATAAATAATTTATAAAAATACATTAAAAATACGGGGTATTACAGGAGACTTCCTACAGCAGCCCGAAAGTCTTTCGGCACCTCCAAAGGGAAACCTGAATTGGCACTAAGAGTTTGTGTGACAACCAAAGGTGTGATTGCAGGCTTAGTGTCAAGCATGCCCATGCATTCAAGAAGATTAGTGATGTAATTATGTTGACCGATAAATAATCCATGAGTAGTAGGCATGATCTCTACCCCAAGAAAGTAAGAGAGTGAACCCAAGTCTTTTAGTGAAAACCGACTTGCAAAGTGTGGAATGAACTGATCAATATAAGCCACATCCAGTCCAATAGCAATAATGTCATCCATATACACTATTAGATAAATAGGTGTAGTTGAGTGATGAAAAATAAAAAGTGATGTATCAGAGACACATTGATTGAAGCCTTTGCCAATCAAGAAAAGGTGTACCATGCTCGCGGTGCTTCCTTTAGACCATATGTTGCCTTCTTTAGCTTGCATACATGAGTAGGAAATTTTGCATCAATAAAACTGGGAGGTTGAGACATGTAAACCTCCTCATGTAATGTTCCCTGTAGTAAAGCATTATTAATGTCAAGTTGGCAAAGATGCCAATGTTGAGTAACAACTAAGCTTAATAGAGTGCGGATGGTAGCTGATTTGACAATTAGACTACATGTTTCCGAATATCAATGCATGGACGTTGTTGAAAGCCCTTTGCTACTAAGTGTGCTTTATAACGTTCAATTGAACCATCTTTGTTGCATTTAATTCGAAAAACCCATTTGCACTTGACAATGTTACAAACATCATTGGAGGAAGTTAAATCCCAAGTACCAAGTTTATGCAAAGAAGCTAAATCTTCTTCCATGGCTTTTCTCCAAAGAGGATCTTGCAATGCTGGTTTGATAGTGGTGGGGATTATGGGGTTAGAGGATAAGGTGGTAGGATGTGCATATTTTGGGTTTGGTTTAACAATATTGTTTTTGGATCCAGTGATGATGCCAAGAATTGGGTTTGAAGTGGGCTGCTCATTTTGTGGGTCTAATGTGGGGGAAGTAGGCTGCCCATTTTGTGGGTATAATGTGCTTAAAATGGGTTGCCCATTGTGGGAGTCTAATGTTGGTGAAGGGGGTTAGTGGCGTATGTAAGGGAAAGGAATTAATTAAAGGTGTTTCATGTGAAGAGATAGTGGTAGAAGGTTGAGATGTTTGTGAAGAATTGAGTTGAGCAGAAGCATTGGAGGAGTGGGGAGTGTGTGGGCGAGGAGGTGTTGGGCCTAGGGAATCCATTTAATCAGGCATGGGCCTATGAATTGTATTTTGAAGAATTGGCAAAGTGGCTGCACACCAAAAATGAGGGATAGAATTAGAAGAGTCTTCTAATGAATCATATTTATATACGATTTATAGGCACATATTTGCTTCTTTTATAGTTGCTTTTTACGTCTTTTAGTCTCTTTTTAGGTCACATTTGCATAATATATCCGTTTTGTGCTCTATTACGCGTCTTTTGTGTTTTCTTAATATTTCAGGTGATTTCATAATCATTTGGATGCTTTTAAAGTGTTTAGAGTTGATTCAGATGATATTAGGATGAAGAGTCGAGTAATTGAAGACGTTGAATGAAGGATATGTGTTTGTGGAAGATTAGGTCGAGATTTATAAGCATACGGAATAAAAATAGCTTCTACGAGCGTCACTATGCACCTTTCGGAGATGAATTTGAGTTAGAAACACAGAAAACGATGGTTTACAAAGTGTCAAAACAGACCTTTTCTCACTCTTTTTATCATAACTTTAGTTATACATATCAAATTGAAGCGATTCAAATTGCGTTGGAAACTAGACTTGAAAATCTTTCCAATAATAGGTTACGAGCCTCTATAAAATTTCTAAAACTTAAGATACAACCCCTGAAAGACGAGCCTGCGAACCAGCTACGAACAGCGGCCGCGGCTCGACACACCCAGCCACGAGTAGCTTCTGCTTAGCCCGCTGGATACCCAGAGTCCGCTGGTTTTGGCGCCCAGCAGCAGGCCTCGTCTTCGAGCATCGTTTCCTCATCGTCATAACAATCCTTGATCGACTACGACTCCTTTAATTGTCCAATCATCGAACAACTTTTGTTATTTTAATTTTCTTATCTTTTTTCATTTATTTATCTTTAGCTTAAATTTAGGATAATATAAATACTCAAAGGATATTATTTTTCGAGGAGGCCATTTATACTTTTGATTATTTTATGTTCTTTTTAGTTTTCTCTCTAGCCTTAGTTTGTCATGGACAATTCCATGGATTCCTCCATGGTTTTGTTCTTGAGTTTGTTACTTTAATTTATAGAGGTAATTTTATGTTACTTTAATTATGCTTACTTTAATTTATGTTACTTTATAGAGGTAATTTTGATTATTTTATGTTACTTTAATTATGCTTTCTTTTTTAGATTTAGTTTTTATTATTTATGTCATGTTTGAGTAGTTTAATTTATAGGGTTTGCAAATCCATGTTTATATTATGAATTTTGATTGATATTATTGATATTTTTATTATTGATTTCTCTAATTGATAGTGTTTTATTGTTAATCTTGCAACCTGATCAATTATTTGATTAATTATTGTTAATAAGTGTTTGAATTGAAAGATCATACTTTTAGAGGCTTAGGTACAATTAGAAATTCGGATTATGTTAGCGACCAAACTACATATGTTGAATTGAAAGCGTTAAGACCCGACTGTAGGCTTAGCAATGACTCTAGATACTTGATTGATTGAATTGTTAATGGTATTTTTGTAGATTTAAAACTATAAGCATGGTGACCTATAACCCTAAGTGTTTTTTTTATTGATTTTTATTCTTATTTCAATTTAGACTATATTTCTATCCCAATTTTGTGACATAGTTTAGTTTCTCCAATTCCTAAGAAGTTCGATTAAATAGCCATCTCTCTGTGGATTCAACCCTACTTACCCTACTACATTGTTAGTTGGTTTTGTTAGGAATTTATTTTTGACAGGTGTACGACAACTTATCATCTTCTTTGACAAGAAGAGAGCAAGGAAATTCAGTTTCAACAAACCGAACATGCTTAGATGCATAAACACGATTAGTGAGTTCTAGGTTCAAAACAATAATAGGCACTTTGAGTTTTTGAATAACCAATAAATATGCGTGGTTTGGATTTCGGGTCCAATTTGTGAGATGTATATGGCTTATGCCAAGGATAACATGAACACTCAAAACTTCGTAATGTAGGTAATTAGGAGGAGACACAAATAAGCAAAGGTAAGGTGATTTATTCGATAAAGTAGGTGTGGGGAACCTATTTATCAAATAAGAAGTAGTGGAGAAGGCATATGACCAAAGAGTAAGAGGTAAATGAGCATGAGATAAAATAGATAAGCTGGTTTCGATAATATGTTTATGACGTCGTTCGGCAAATCTACTGTGTTCTGGAGTATGAGGTTGAGTGGTAAGATGGGATACTCCATAAATAGTTAGGAAAGATGATAAAGCCTCATATTCCCCCCCCCCCATTATCGGAATATAAAATTTTATTCAACCTCCCAAAGAATTTCTCAACTAGAGCTTTGAACCTTATGAAGACATGTTTAGTGTTAGATTTGTTTTTGAGGATAAAACCTATATATATATATATATGTATGTATGTATATATATATATATATATATGTATATATATATATATGTATGTATGTATGTATATATATATATATACATATATATATATATACATACATATATATGTATATATATATATCTACATATATATATATATATATATATATATATATATTTTAATGATCAATAAAGATCACATAATATTTGAAGCCATCAATGGATTGAACCGGAGAGGTCCATAGATCAGTGTAAACAATATCAAGTGGAGAATGTGAAATCAAAGTATAATGATTAAAAGGAAGTTTGTGACTTTAATTTTATTGCATTCTCATGCATTACAATTAAAAGACAACGAACTAGAAACATCAAGATTAAACTCCGAAATAATTTTCTTAAAAATAGCTAAAGATGAATGGCCAAGTCTATGATGCCAATTTATTGTCGGAGATTTGATGGCGGAAAAAGCTAAAATGGCAGAAGAGGATGGTAAGTCATGTATCCCATGGTCAGTTGGGCCCTTGATAAGATGTTCCCCTATGAGACGATCGTTCACAAGAAAAGAATCAAAAGAGAATTCAATGAGTAATTTATTGCCAGAGCATAATCGAGAATAAAAATGATATTACGAGTCATAGAAGGAAGTAGGGATAGAAAGAGAGCATGTATGAGTAATAGAAACACCCATCCCATTACCTATGACAATTTCCTCAGTGCCATTATATGGGTGGTGAAGAGAAAGGTTGGATAAATCATGAGTGACATGATGAGAAGTTCCTATATCCAAGAGCCAAGTTGCTTGCTGGCTAGTTGTAGTGGTTGTAGCCATATGTGCTTAGGCAGGGTGTTAGGAGTTGGATGTTGGTGGTAAAGTAGGCTTAGCATTAGGTAATTTTTCTTAAAAAGTCAGGCAGCGGTGTAGAGAGTGTCCAAAGGCATAACACTATTGACACTTGCCTTGATAACCTTAAGGCTTGGTGGTGTTACTGGTGGATTTCTTATAGGGATAACTAGATTTGTTGTTGTGGTAAGATTTGGAGTAATTTGGTTGTGGATGAGGGCGCGTGGTGGTGGAATGAGCAGTGACTGGTAGGGGAGTGGGTGTGATATTCTTGCGTAGTTGTACCTCCTTAATAAGGAGTTTTTCATGCAAGTCATCAAAGCTTATCATCAATTCACGAGCATTCATGGAGTCAATTATAGATTGATACTTATCATCTTCTAAGCCTTTAAGTACTCTTTCAATAAGATCATCAGGTTTGTACGACCCGTGCCAAGAACAATCAATTGGTCCGCACAATGTGGATCGCATTCTGATGAGGAATGAAATGTCGTTGTTAATACACTTTTCCTATCAAATTAATCCTAGTTTACCTAAACAAGTATAAAGGCAAGCAAGGGTCGAATCCACGGAGAAACAGGAAATTGTGAAGCTAAGTGCTAACGAAAGAGGCTTGAAAAGGGTGTATATGAATAAGAGTGGAGTAAAACCAGGCAACAAACAACTAAGGCTAACAAAATTACTCTAACAATTAACAAAGACTAACAAGGATTAGAAACTATGAGATTAAAAACGCTAGGGGGATTGGGGAACATCAAACTTGGAGATTAAGAGATAAACACATAGATAATCAAGGATTCACAACCAAGGGATCAAAGATCTTACTTAACACAACTCATTCCCATGTAATTGATTAAGCAATGTATAAACT